GGCAGTAGAATAAAGTCCTGGTTTTTTAAATTCATGAGCATGTACAAACCTTGGTGGAAGTACTTTGGCTTTCCTTGGAAGCTGGAGTTTTTGAATAAGTGTAATTTATTCTGCAGGTATAGAAAAAAACAGTAAAAAATGTGTATCCTGCAATCATGGGTTATTCTAGCTGGCAGGGACCTCTGAAGGCTTGCAGGCCCCTCTTGCCTCAGGCAGGGTCACCAAGGAGATGGGATCGGATTCCTCAGGGCTTGCCAAGCTCCAGGGACAGAGAGCACAGCTGTTTGCACAGCTCCCAACATCTGGCTGTCCTTGTGGGGAGGATCTGAACTAGGCTGGATTTCTTCTTGGAAGCCACTGGTGGTGTCTTCTTCATACTCTTCTTACTAATTTAAATCCATAATCCCTAGGGGCAGAAGTCAGGGAGCACTGCTCGTGTCTTCCACAGCCTCCCATTCCTTCTCCTGCATGTGCACCATCACAGCAAGAGAAGGAGAGGAAAATGAGGCTGAAGGTAAATTAGTGGAGAGAAGAGATGCAGTGCATTACCTGTCAGCTGGCCATCAGCTGAGATTATTCATTATAAATACACTCAAGTGATAAATGGAGTGTAAAATTATTGTGGCTTTTTCTAGAATTTGTCAAAAATGGGGGGAAGAGAACATAGAGAACATTCCTTTTCATTCAGCAGAATGTACTGTAAGAAAATGGTTATTTTGGTATTTTTCATGGAATTTAGTTTAGCATACTGGTCTTGGAAATTATAATGTAAGAGTTAGGTTTTGTTTCATATTCTTCATATTCTTTACACTGTTTACTCATCTTCCATGATCTCCAACTTTTTTTCATTTGCTGTCCCTGAAAAATAGGTAGGAGAAAAACAATGAGTTTTTAAAAAATCATGGGAAATAAATGCCCTACTTCTCTTCTGGTATCCTTTTTTTAAGAGAAGAAAATTTCAGGAAAAAAAAATAAATCAGTGTTCTATTGTTTCATATAATCAGGTTCAACTTTAAAATCTTGTCAAAACATTATAATTTAACATTAGCATGTAACTTGATTTATATAGCAAGTAAGACAATTGTGCCTGCTCTGAAGAGCTTGCAGCCTGTCAGGAGACAAGACAAGACACTGGGGGGGATTTCACCATGAAGGAGAATAAATGAGATGAGTGACAGAAAAAGGAATACAAAAAACATCTTCAGGGTTTTGGTGAATGGTGCAACAGACATAATGTTAACTCTTATGCTTTATTTTCACTTGAAGAAAAATAAAGTCCTAATGTTTTTTAACTTAAAAAAAACTCCTTAGATAAAATTTTGCAAAACATACAGATGGTTTTAGAGCCATTGTTGTATTTCCACGAGTACAGAATCATTTCATACCTGAGAGCTGGCAGCCAGTCAGTTGAAGATCAAGTTCCTAAACACAGGGCTGTTATTTTGTGTGTTGGGACAGGATGTCCACCTGGCTCTGCAGCACAGCTCAGCTTCTGCAGAAAAGGGTTTTCAGTGGAGGATCATAGGAGAGTTCATAGAAAGAGTGGTTTGAAAGTGAATGTGCTCCATGAAAAATCCTCTTGTAAGCAAGATCTTGGAAGATTATTTCGGGCAAGGATGAAGGTGTGATTTGAAATTGAAAGAAGTTGCAGTGCATAAATTATCAGGAAAGAGGTTCTGGGTATGTTTGTGGAAGATGGACCAGAAGAAGGATAGAGAAATAAATAAAGTATTGGCACAGAACTGAGGACTCAGCCTTGTGCTCTGCCCTGATCCATGGCACTGCCCACAGTGGACACCAGTAATATTCCTCTGTATTCTGATATTCCCCCTCTAATATCCCCCCTCAGCTCCCCCAGGCTGACATTTCCCCCTCCTTTCTTCAGCTGCTGCATCACCAGTAAAACAAATCATAAATCTCTTTATGTAGCCAGCCTTGAATAATTCTGTTCTTCAAAGTGATGTCACCAGCTAGCTGGGAAATTATTATGTATTAGGCAATAATACACCAGCTAATGAAATGATTTTTACCTTGTTGTCACCATAAAAATCTCAGCCTTTGATCTGCTCCAGATTTTACCATATGGCCTACTAAAGAAAAACAACAATAAAACAACTTTCTGTTGCTTTGTTTGTAGGAAAAGTCCACACATAACAAGAGAGGTAGTTTGGAACATGAAATGTTCCAAATGTTTCTTTTGGTAGCTGAAAGATGCTCCTGCCTGCCTGCATTTGATTAATAATGAATTCTGTAAATGGAAATGTAATATGGTTTTTTGAGATTTTAGTGGTGTTTGCAGTGGTAGAGACTTGAGAGTGGCTTGGGAAATACCTAATTCTGAGAACTGCATGTCTTGTCTCACATCCCTGAAATGTTCCTAGAGCTTGGAAAAACAATGTAGCTACTCCTTACATCTAAAAATAAAGTATTTCCTGAAGATGTAATGTAAAGACATGCATTTCCCACATTTCAGAATTAGCTAAAACTGTTTAGTCAATAAATTCACTCTGATATGGGAATAAATTCAAGGATGGTAGAAAGATGTAGCATGTTCTAGAGGAACAGCAAAAAATGTGCATTTGTCAGATAAGACCTGAGATGTTTGTTGGTATTTCGAGGGCTGGCAGGTGCTCCTGCACTGTGTGGGGTCAGTATCTGAGTGTTCATGGATCAGGTCCCAGAACCTTCCCTGGCTCTGAAGAGTTGTCTGTGGGTTTTAATCTTGGCTCTTCCACTGGGCTGTTGGTGGGAGTAGTGGGATTTATGAATTAGCATGATGGACTGAGGCTGTGTGTAGAGAAAAATGTGGGAAAATCAGCTTCCAGTGCATGGAAGCTGATCTTTTGAGATGTGTTTTAATACAAATCATTAAAAACTAGTAAGAATCAGCATCCTACTGAGAAAATTTCCCCCGTTCTTTCTTTTTTTTTCAGTTGAAAAACTAAAAATTTTATCTTCTTTCACGGCTGTTTTTTGATCAGAATGTCTTCTCCAGGAGAGAGTTTAGGAGTGATGCTGAGCTCACTCTGTGGTGCAGTGGAAGCAGCTGAAGACCATTGTCCCTGGCTCTCTGACCACTCTTTCCTTTTTCTCTGTGTCTAAGGCCACTGCTTAGGTCACAGGATAGCTCTCCAAAAAATGGCAGGTCAGAAAGATTTCTGATTCAGTCCATGGTAGGAAAAGGAAGGTGGGTGCCTCAGAAAGCAAAATAAGATTGGAAAGTGTAAAACAATGGCTTTCTCTGGGGAAGAAAAAGAAAGCCAAGCCTGTCAGGAAATCTGCTGCCCATTGACAAATAAATAAATGGAATTGTTGTGGCCTGAGGCTGGTGCAAGGACACTGGGGAGTGGGGATGCCTGGTGGACATTTTGGTTTGCATTGCTTGGCTGCTCAGCCCTGGGTGACTGTGAGGCTGCAGTCAAGGAGGCATTACTTAAGATGTTCTTAAATATAAACAGGCACAGTTATTTATATCTATATAATAATATATATGTATATATAATATATATATATATTTAAATATCTGTGAAGATGCTTTGCCAGCCCAGGTGCTGTTGTCCTCCATTACTAGAAGTTGTGGTGTTTAATTCTTAACAGGAGGAGATCAAAATCCTTGAGTGACAAGGTCTAACTGAAGAAGGCTGCTTTATAAAAAGAGAAAATAAACATTAGCTGCTTACCTGAATGTGTGTACACCAACACAGCTTATTTCTAACATTAAAAAAAATTACATAGATTTATTTCCCTTTGTTTTCTGTTTCCTGTAACTAAGGCTTGATAACATTTGAAACTTTAATTCAATAATAATAATTATTAATGATTGTACAGAACACCCTGCATTACCTCCTTAATTGTCTTTTTTATTTTTTCACCCACTTCATTCAAAAAAGCACAATAAAGGGGAAAACTTTTAATCTACCTTTTTAACAACATGTACAGCAACATTTAGGTAGATTTTCATGATAGAGTGTTCTGCTTTTCGTGCTACAGAAATGGGGCATGCCACCAGAACACAGGGACATACAGAAATGCTCTAGTGAGCCTTATTTGGGTGGAAAGTCTTAAAACATTTTATCACCTGAAGAAGCAATATAATATAATGTGTGACATTCCTTATTATTTTTGTTAGTTTTCTTTGTAGTTTTGTGGCTGGTGTAGCATGAAGTTTATTTTAACAAATCAGACATGTTAGAATTGACCAAAAGTGAGCTCTCCATATCATTAAAACGTGCCAGTCTCCATCTCAATTTTTGCCATTTCAGGTAATTTTCCTTCAAAAATGCCTGTAATTTTTCTTAAAACCTTTACTGGCTCCCTTTATCTCATTAAGCACAATGCAGTTCTTACTAAAACTTGAAGTAGTTTTCCTTCAGAAGCAAAACTGAACCTCAAGTCATGAAGCGGAGTTGGTGCAGGGATTTCAAGGGCTTGTGTCTGATTTCCTTGGCTTCACGTGCTTTTTCCTGTTGCAGGATCAAACCCTGCCACTAAAGTGAGATTTTTTTCCTCTCCTGAAAGAACACAGCAGTCAATTGAGTACCATTTCCACTCTGCGTGAGGCTCAGTTTGCTAACAGTGAGCAGAGTTTAGTTAACTTCATATTTTGGACAAGCTTGTAAATTTGTTCCCTTCTAATGCTGTGATCTTATCAAGGTTGTACTGTTTTCCTTTTCTTCTCCTCCACCCCCATCTTCTTTCTTTCCTTTTTTTGAAGTGCAGCCTTCTGATCAATGTGCACTTTTTTTTTTTTTTCCATTTCCCTAAATACATCATGAAAAAGGATGAGGTTTCCGCCTTAATTGCTTGTGCCTTTTATTCACATTCCTCTCCCAGCCAGAATTGTGAAAAGAGTGTTAGTAAAAGGCTGCACAATAGAGCTTTTCATTAGGCCTCAACAAGGCACACAAAGGAAGGCTTTTGGAAAGAGTGAATGCAGGACTTTAATTTGCAGGTGGAGAGTAGATAAAAGGTGCTGACGCCTCTATTATTCTCTTGCTTAGGTGACCCCTACCCCGTTCAGCTGATCCCAACTACCATGGCAGCTGCTGCCGCAGCAACTCCGGGCTTAGGCCCGCTGCAACTGCAGGTAAGTCCGGCACAATGCAGAGGAGGCGAAGGTTAAGTAAATGTGAAAACCAGTTTTCTCTTCCTCGGAGCACAGCGCAGTTAACGGGGCTCTTGGGGCTGTTCTCCTCGCACCGGATTTGCGTCTGACGCAAAAGTCGCCGCGCGATAACGCGCTTTTCGTTCGCCTCCGTGGAAGGGTTTTGTTACTTTTTTGTGTCCCTGTTGTCAAGTTAACTACTTTGAGGTTTGTGCCTTGAATTTCCTCGTAGCAGTAGGTTTGCTTTTCTTGCTGACGTGGTTTAACTCAGAACTACACAGCCGCTCTGCCTTCCCAGAGGTGGGGTGGCTCAGAGAGCTGGGAAATACAAGGTGAGATAAGAACAGTTCCATAATTGATATCAAGTAAAATACAATAGTAGTGATAGCAACGATTGTAATGGAAAAGAGAGAGGAATAAAACCCAAGAAAACAATTGCTGACCAGTGCCCAGCCTGTCCCCAGGCAGTGGTTGACCCCTCCTGAACCAGTGTCCCCAGTTCATCACTGAACGTGATGTTCTCTGCTGTGGAATATTCCTTTGGCCACTTCAGGTCAGCTGTCCCAGCCTTGCTGCCTCCCGGTGTTCTTGTGCAGCTTCTCAAACTTGAGAAATCCTTGATTTAGGGTAAGGGCTACTTAGCAACAGCCAAAGCATTGATAAGTTATCAAATGTTATTCTCATCCTAAATCCAAAGCACAGCACTGTACCAGCCACTGAGAAGAAAGGCAGTGCTATCCCAGCTGAAACCAGGACACTTTTCCATTAGATCCTTCTCCTGCAGGCTGTGAAATACCAAAAGGGAATGGATTGTCAGGCAGAAGAGCTCTGTCCTGACAAGCACTTTTAAACTGCTTAGAAGTCCTTAACATGATTATGTCCTTTTAGGCCATAAGCTCTTCAGAGCAATAACTGGCCCCTCCTACTGTGTTTTATGGTACCCAGAGCATTTTAGGCACTGCTGTATTGCAGATAACTAGTGATTATTCTGATTTAACATGGACAATTAGAGAACAGGTGGAAAGATACTGAAGGGGTTTGAGGTTTTTTCAGCTGCAATAAAGAGTTGACCTGGTAGCCAGGTGCATCTGACTGAGACTGTCAGTGCTCTGAATTTTGGAGGCATTAGGCTGTCCGTGGCAATGGACAGTGATAGCAAGTCCATGGATATTCCTGATCAGCCACACAGCCCTTGTCAAGCCATTGGAATTAAGCAACGTGGTGTCCATTGCCACCTTGTGAATTTTGTGAATTTTGCGAATTCCCTGTTGTGTGTGCTGGGCTGGCAGGAGGAAGCCAAGTGATATTTGGGACTGAGTGGAAATCAAGATCCAAATCATGTCTAAGTCTGCAAAGTCTGGATTGCCATTCCCTTCTGGAAGCACACAGAGCCCAAGCCCTGCTCTGAGAAGGCATCTCCCTGCATTCTCGTTGCTGTTTGCCAGGTGCCGTGGAGCGCAGGGCTTGGGACCTGCTGGGACATCAGACATCAGACATCTCAGTGCTTTGGCCAGCGTGCTGGAGCGTGGGACACAGTTCTGGGGAAGATATTTTTTACTTTATTTTATTTTATTTTAACGCAGCCAGCGGAAGTTAGCTGAGTTTCACAGAAATAGCTGCCAGTGTGTAAGCTGACACATTCCATGCTCCACAGAGGTTAATACATTCATTCCTATTGTGCCTTTGGATGAAAAGCAACATTGTCTGTGTGTTAGTTTCTGATTCTCTGAGTTACAAATACTGTAGGCGGCTTAGGAATCATGGGAGCCGTAGAAGTCATCCCTCTGAAATGAATTTTGAGGCATTTCAGTATTGATAAAGTGCTTTTAATAGCCAAACACACATGAGCAGACATATGGAAGCAAGAGGGAGGGAAAAAGGAAAAGCAAACATGGAGCTAGCTAGCAATGCAAAAACAACACTGATTCTAATTCTTATCTTTTCTCTCATTCAAGCTAGTCCTAAAATAATGCCTCAGTGCTCCAGTGAGATGGTAGGATGGTTTACTTTCATTTCAGGACCAGCTTTGGGCTGTATCTCTATGCATGCTGTGGGCTGAAGTATCCTGGTTAAAATAGGTTTTATCACAATAACAGTTTTCGTGTTAAAAGGTGGGCTTTGTGCAAAAGTGACTGTAGTCATAGGGATTTTAGGGTGACTTTAGGTTATGGAAAAGTTGAGAACCTCAAAGGCCTGTTGTTTCTGTGCAGAGAACATTAAAATGAAAATATTGACCAAATTCACCTATGTTGTTTTGCTACATGTCTGGAATTAGAGGGAGAGTTTGGCAGCCACTCAGTGGGAGAGGCTCAAATTACTGACTTAGCAGCCTCCTAAATTTTTCAGATCCGATCTCCGAGGGCATGTATGTGCTAGAAATAAAGTGAAGCTGATTTTTCTTCACATCTTACCAGTGATTTTTAGCTATCATTGCAATCTATCTGATAGAAATTGGACATGCCTCTTTAACTTCTGGTGCCATTTGAAAGAGTCAGGCTAGATTTGCTTCTGGAAAGGTTTTATCATACAGGATTCAAAACAGATGCCCACCTCTGCTAACATGAATGGAGCTCAGCTTAACTGCTAGACTAGAAAGACTGTGCCTTCCAAACTCTGTTCAAATCCAGTTTAGCTCAGTGATGACTTTGTTGAGTCATAAGGAAAGATTCATGATGTTTTTGGTCCAAACCCACCTTTAAATGGCTTTGCAGTCTCTTTCAAGGAGGAACTCTTCTTTCTTCAGACATTCCTCTGCTTAACTTAAAATTCTGGTGTTCCCTGCACACCCTGTGTCATCTGGTCATCAGACAGTAAAAGGTCAGCAGAGTGGCATGTTCCCTCTTTCCTTCTTTCTCTGTCCTCCCTATCACTCATCTTTCAGACTTTGTGTACTTGAAGCAGGGGAGATCAAAGGACCTGACACAATGCTCGGCTTGTTGCTCCCAGCAAAATTCGATACACAGCGTTATCTCAGTGAAGACAAAGCCAAGGAATGCTTCTTGTTTGTTTATGGAACAATAAACACGTCTTTGTTATTTCACCAGAGAATTTTAAGTCGGGTCATGGCTTTAGTAGTGTACTGTGAGATCAACAGGAAGTACTTTTTTTATCCCTGGTTGTCAAAATCGAATTTTTGTTTTTGTAAATGAAGTGCACGCTGTATTTATGGAAGAAGAGCTAGCACCTGATTGCTTTCCTGTGGCAAAGCAGCTCTTAGGCAGTGAAAATGCAGCCCCTCATTTTGAGTCCCCTGTGGGTTGGCAGTGATGGGTTTGGAACCCGAAGCCCCCGTTCCTCTGAGCCCCCACTGGGTGTGCAGATTCTGATATTTGCCACGTGGGATTGCCTTGATTCCCAGCATCCACAGAGACTAATGGCTCGAGGGGGATGGAAGCTAAACCTTGCATTGTTAGATGCTGTAAAGGCAGTAGAGGGATGGGGCAGTGTTGGAAAAGCTGGAACAGTGCAAGCTTGAACCTGTCCTCTGATCCAGCACTGTCTGTCAGCCCCTTGTGTTCACTCATTCCCACTTTTAATGACAAAATGCCATTTGTGGGAGGGGGAAAAGTGGTTTTAGCTTTCCTGTTCCTGAGGAAAGTCAGTCCTGAAGGTTACTGTGGTGAAATCCCTCTGGGAAAGCACACGGGTTCCTTACATCAACTTTTCCCCTCATAAACATCATCTGGTCCTGTTCTTCAAGAGTGGTGCAGGATGGCAGCAATGCTTCAAATGAGAGAAAAGCTGAAGGGGAATTGTCACTGTGTTCTGCTGAATAAGGCTAATGACTCAAAGTACTGCTCTATGCTTATAGGATGTTTTCCTCTGTGGCTCAGCAGACGAGGGAATTCAGTCTTGAAGATCAGCATTCAAAGCTGAAAACATAGATGTAAAAGTTTTGCACAAACATAGGTGTAACAAGTTTTGCACAAACTAAACTGCAGGGTTTGTTCTGGTGCCAGTCATCGTGGACATAGCTAAGTATGAAATGGATGTTTCCATAAGTCTGAGCAAATTCTTGACAAAATTGTATCTGAAAGTTTCTTTTCTGATAAAAAGTATTTTGTGAGTAGTTTTCTGAGCGTTAGGAAACAGGGGAACTAATCACACAACGTGAAAACTGAGAGGAATCTGCACCATTGGGAGTGGGAATGGTTCAGATTTCCCAGATTGCTTGTTTGATAACCAGATAGTGACAACAACTGATTAATTGGCAGTAACACAAATGCTGTATGTAACCATAACTCCATTGAAAGATAATGCTGGATGAATAATGACAGCTGCCTGTGTAGTCTTACTGCATGGACATTTTGTGTCCTGTCAAAACACTAGAGCAGTCTGATGTAATACAGACTTCCTGCAAACATCTGCTCTTGGAAAAAAAAACACCCCAAAAAGTTGGGAGTGCCAGCATTCAAACTTTCTTGCCTCTTCATCTCAGCATGAAGCAGGGCTTCATAAAAATTATTTGTGGTTGTGCTCAGCCCCATGTCCAAATCTGTCAGTGTGTGAACCAAGAGAGCCTCCCATCAGTGTCTCAGTGTGAAAGCATTTTAGCTGGGTCTCAGTTCTGGACACCAGTCCTTGGGACAGTCCTGGATTCTGTGTTTGTATAAAGATGAGCAGCACATTTGGGCCTTAAACAGTCTGGCTAAGGCTTTTAGTCTCTAATTCCTATATTAAGTACTTGGGTCAGTTGATTTTTCCTTACTGCAGACCCATTCTCTTAGTTGTGTGGTAAGATGCATACCAGGGACTGAATTTAAATGGAATTTTCAAAACTGGACCACAATTTTGGAAATATTTGGGCGTCAAGCAGGCGCTGATGTTAGAGATTGGATTTTGACAAAAATTAAGCCTGTTTGGAGTTTGAGGGCTTTGCAGAATTGTTCATCCCGTTGTTACTTAGGTGTCAGCTCAGTACTTTGGAAAGCCTTGTCCTAGGTATCCTAAGGACCCATAGTCACTGGGAAGGATTTAACTGC